TTTTTATAAATTTATTTACGAATATAATACAATTACTTTCCTCTCTTTTCTTATTTATTTTTTTACTTTTCTCTTTTTTTTCATTTTTATTCTTTTTTTTATCTATGTTTGTGCTAATTTCCTTTTTTCTCTTTCTTATTTTTTTCTCACTCATCTTATTCTTTTAATTAAAAATATTAAATTCAAATTTGATAAAATGAAATTTTTATTATTTCTAAAAAATAAAAATATTTAAATTATCAAAAAATACTATAATTTAATATATTATATTTTAAAAATATATATTATATTATAAATTTGAGGTGTTATAAATTATTATGTTGTAATTATTAACAAAATTATTATTTATATTAAAATAACTTTTTAATAAATATTTTTTTAGATTATTTAATGTCACTAATCTTCATAACTTAGCCTAATTATAACTAGATTATATTACTAAATAAAAAATTGTATTTAACTCATAAATATTTAATATTTTTTAATTAGATGAATAATTAATTTATTATGATAAAATAGTTTGTAATTAATTATATATATTATTGTAAATAAAATTATTTACTGTCATAATAAATAAATTTATTTACTGATTATAATTTTAAATAATTAGTTGATATTTTTAAAAATTTTAATATTGATTTAAAAAAGCTTATATTAACACAATTTTATCATATATCAATATAGTAATTTTAATTAAAAGAGTAAGTGGAAAATGAAGGAGAAAAATAAAAGACATAAAGAGTGACACAAGAAATGAATAAGGAAAGAGAAAAATAAAAAATAAAAATATGAAAAAGAGAATAAAAGATATATATATATATATATATATATATATATATAAATAATCAGGTTATTGGATAATAAATTAATATTTTTTATTTTGAAATATATTATTTATAATATTGATTCTATTTAATGTCTATAATTATTATTGGTATTTAATATATGCATTAATTAAATGTATTTAATAAGTATACACCTTATTTAATATATGTATTTAATGTAGTATTTAATAGGGTATCAATTAGTTGAACACTAGTTCAAAATGGAGTGAGTTGATAAAATTTTAAATTTTTTAATTGTAGGCTAAAAAGAGTGTAGCTCACAAATGAGATCGATTCATGTTTGCGGTAAGTTGATTCGTGATTTTTTTTTTCAATATTTATATGTGAATTTGTTGAGAAAATATATTTTATTAAGTTAATTCAATTATTTTATTGATTAAAAAATCAGACATATATACACTAATTTAATATTTCATCTCTTTCTAGATATATATCTTTTATATTGAGTTAAACACATTAATTTTTATTCTTTTCCATAAATTCAGGGTTTTTTTTTTATCATTATCCTTATCCTCATTTATAGTTAAACACAAATTTGAAGAGTCACAATTATGTTAAAGAGTTTGTTTTTTAAACTTTAAGAACGAGTTAAATTTTTTTTATATATAATGTTTTATGTCTATACATTGATGTTTATTTTTCTTGAAACATCATGACAGAAAGTTAACATACCTATATATGTAAAATTCGAGGATAGTTATAGAAGCACTTACAGAAAAATGGTTGGAATTATGATTATATTTATGTTGAGTTTGGCGCAAGCTGATTACAATATTTCATCTTTACAAGTTGGATCATTTCGTTGTGATCTCAAACGTGCGATTGAGTGTGCATATTTAATATGTTGTCGTCGGAAGTACTATGAGTGTGCGCATAAATGTGACGTAAACTGTCATAAAATGTCCTACCACAAGGCAAAAAGCCCTTTTACGTCATTTTATTTTCGTGGGATAAAAAGGTTGTTTTACGTCATTATATTCTTTTTGATTTAAAAATATTCTACTTAAAAAAATTTGGTACCAATTTATAAACATGAGACGAGATTTTTATATCATATTTAAAAGGATGATGTAAATCTTTTTGGATCCAACATAAAAATTGATTTTACTTTTACGTCATATTCCTATTAGTTTGACGTAAAAATAAAAAACTCTTTTACGTCACTTTTTTTTTTTACATAAAAATTACTTTTTATTCTATCTTAGTGTCACTTTATTGTCTTGCACATCAGAAATTTGTAAAAAGGTTAAAAACATAAACATTGTGAACCATTTTTTAAATTTAAAGTTTCTTTTTTATTGGATTCGAGTTTAAATTGTTTTCGTATATATTCAAGGTTAATACTCTATATCTTCTGTTATACGTTTATATTGAATACGTTTATATTGAATTCGTGATTATTTTTGGGATCTCAATTACGTTATTTCATGAATATTTTTACTAAATTATTATTAGAATATCATTATTTATTTATTTATTTGAATGTATTTTTTGTTTACATACTTCATTTATGTCTCAATCACTTTCTTTGTTATTTATATTTTTTTTTAAATATAAATTTTGAATTTTTAGGAGTGACTGAAAATTTATAACATAGATAGATATAAATTGAAGTTGGATGAATGTACATTGTATTTGTGAAGAGTACGAAAAGGGAGTTGAGAAATTTTTAAAATTTACTAGTAAAAATGGAAAAGCTATGAAATGGAAATATTATTGTTCATGCATTTGTTATTTGAATCAAATACATCATAAATTTGAGGATATACGTGATTAATTATTTGTTTATGATATTATTAAGAGTTATACAATATTAACATGACATGAAAAATATTAGACATCTCAATTATGTTAACAACATAAAATTTTGACAAAGGGATAGATGATAATCTAGAAGATATGATATATGATATTGGTGAAGAAAATTTTATAAAAACACATGTATATGATTCTTTAAAATATGATTTTGAGCAATAATTATACATAAGATGTAATTTTATAATATTATCATGAACTTAAAAATTGTTTAATTTAAAAATAAGAAATAGATTGAATGATAAAAATTACACCGAATTATTGAAACTGTTCCAAAATATATTTTCCAAAAATAATACATTACATGTTTGTGACTATAAAACAAAAAAAGATATTATATTCAATATATTTAAAATACAAAAAGATATATACATATCTAATAAATATTTTTGTTCCATTAAATAGGTGTCTCACACACGTGGTTTGTCGCGGTTAAAAAACAAATTTCTTCACTTTGCATGTGTTCGTGTTTTTATGTCTGATGGAGCGGAATCTTATTTGCAAAGAGTGTAAAAAAAAAAGTAATAAGCGACAACAAATTTATCCAAAAAAAATAGTGGTAGGTAAAAAAAATTATGCATAATTGTGACAAACACATATAAGTTGATAAATAATATCTACCATTTATTTTTCACAGTTATTTTTCTTATGTTTCTTTTATATATTAACTTCCTTATGTTCGATCAGATTAATAATTATTAGAGCCAGATAAAAAATAAAAATGACAAACAAAATTTAATTATTTTTATTTTAATAAAATGTTCACCCTTTTAATATTTATATTTATGTTTGAAGAAGTTATTTTCATTAACTAAACAAGTAAGCAACAAAAAAGTACAATTTTACTTACTCTATACATTAATCAAAATTTAAATAAATAATTATTTTTTATATTAAAAATTATTATTTGTGATCGGAGGTAAAAAATTAGTTTTAGAGGAACAAGTATATATACTTCTTTTAAGAAGATCATGAGATATTTTTTTAATAAATTTTTTTTTTTTCCATGTGTCCGTTCTTTATTTTCGTCGCCATATAATTAATATAATCTGCAATATTCTTTTCTTCGTTATTGTTCTAATAAAAGTCAAAGTAATAAAATGGATACGGACTAATTATTGAATTTATGATTAATACACAGCTTTTAGCAATTTAAATGTGATGTAACTTAATCTATTTTACCTTATATAATAGTAATTAATGTAACTTATTACAAATATGTAATTAGGAATATTTTGTTTATCCTAGACATATGATAATTAAGAACTTAATAATTATTTATTATCTTACTTTATCTATTTCATTCTTTCTTTTAATTCTTATAATTTTTACCTATAAATTTAAGAAAATTTTAAACAAAATAATATAATACTAATAATAAATTTTTTTCATGAAATACAAAATTTAAGTTTTCACAATTTTTGTTACTCTATTTTTTTTATTAAAAATATTTAAGGAAGTAATATCGGTATTTATATTTTTTATATAAGTATATTGTAATATTGTAATTTATCTTCTTCTAAAAATTGTAAATTTTAATTTATTAGACTATTTTTTTATTATCTTTTTAAAATATTTGTTATTTTTTTATTTATGCAAATCATCATTTCTCTACGATCACAAATTTATAAGTCCAGAACTTAGTCAAGTTAACAAAACTCTTGAGAAAAAATATCATAATAAAAAAAATCTAAAATTTTTATTCATTCATATTATTATAATGAAACCTTGACACGTTTTATTAAATAAAAAAGAAAATAAAATTAAAGATGACTTAGAAGTAAAACTACATGTTTCATCAAAATGTGTTAAGATCACATTATCATTAATTGTTATAAAAAAAATAGAAATAAAAAATTTATTATTACTTTTTAAGCCTATAAACTACACAAAGAAAGCAATAAAAACGAATAATCATATATAAAAAAAAGTACAGATAATATAAAACTATATTTCTTATTTTATATTTTTTGTCATAAAAAAATAGTAATTAATAATATTTAATTGATCTATTTAATTTCTCTATCTTAATTATTGATTACTTTATTTTTTTTACTTGTGAATAAGAAAAATAATAATACTTTTAACTTGTACAATAACAAAATTGTGATTATTTTGATAATTAATTGTTCAATTTTTGCTATAACTAATTATAATTAAAATTACTTCTGTTTGTAATTTTGTTGAAAGTTATTACAAGACAATTAATTATTTGAATGCATTAGAAAAACAACTTTTATTTACAAAAAAATATGTATCATGACCTACACATTTCATATGCAATAAAATAATTTGTTTTAATTACAAATTTCAACATTAAAAAATTATGTTTTTTATAGTTTACTCTATTTGTCAAATGTTCGTTGTCTTAGAGATGGATTATTGTTTACAATAGAAAGAAAGAAAGAATATAAATTGCTATAACATTGTTCAAGGAAAATATTGGCAGGTAAAAAAATATTATGCTGAACATGATTATAATAAGCAAAAATGAGTTGATAAGTAATATCTGCTATTTTTTCTTTTCATAAATAATTTTTTTTTTTCTTATGATCATTTTCTATGCTAACAAATTTGTTTGCAAATCAAATTAATGATGCCACCCATTAGTTATTGATGACAAATGTATCAAAAGAATTAATTTTCATGAACTATATAAAGCAAAATAGTATCTGAGAACAAGCAAAGTGGTTCCTCTAATGCGTCTGCTCCAGCACCAAGTTTTTTACAATCAGTGGAAAATTTCTAAATACCAACTAATCAATGGTGAAATTCGGCTGCAGAAATTGCTATAGAGAATCTTATATTGACACGTATGTTACAACACAATGGATAAATCATTACTATTTTAAAAGCAAAATAAATAAAATAAATTTAATGTAAAATTATAATTTCATATTCATCGTTTTGAATTAAGTAATTTATGAAACAGTTATTGTAGCAACACTATATTTTATTGTTATTTTTATGTAATTTGAATTATTTTATATGATATATTTTTATAAATATACTATTTTATTGTCATAAATCTTAACACTAATTGGTGATAAGTGAATGGTCTAATAGATATATAAGCTGCATTAAAAGAATTGTGTAACGTGAAATTCCCAATTTGTCAATGATTAAGTGAAGTTAAGAATTATATATTGCCTCGAATTTTTTAAATACAAATTATTTTTATTATATATATAATTATATATATATATATATAATTATATAAATGATGTTCTTGAAAGACTATTTTAAATAAAAATGTGATTTACAAAAATTTGACTCAAGCTCATATGTACTTAAATAAAACATTGGATACAAAGCACACAAATTTAAATACATATTTTATGATGTAATATTGTAGTACTACAAACATATATCTATTATTATAAATGTGGTATGAAAATATACTAATGTTTATATTAAAAGAAGATGGTTGACCTATGTTAGTAAATTTTTTTTCATAAATTGAGGATATTAGATTCCTTTTGACAATCATGGTATTAATGATGTTAAAAAATTTATATATGAGTCTAAGTATTATAGTCATTATTGAGTAAGGACAAGAAAATTGAATAAAATAAAAATAAATAGTTAAGGTTAGAGTGATATCAAATTTTACATGAGTTTAATTTATATTTTATTATTGTTGTGTTCTCTTTAGTGAATTTTCTCGAAATATCTAAAAAGTAGTATCAAATGTTGATAAGTTGAAGAGTCGTCTTTATATAAAAATTTTCTTAATATGACTCAAGTAAGCGTGTCTCGTTATAATAAACAACATTATATAAAAGAACTACTAGTGAGTTCGATAAAATATATCAATACGAAAATTGTTAGTCAAGAAAGAAATACTCATTATCCAATGTCATAAGGTTTTGGATTAAGAGTAATGTCAATTCCCGATGTAAGTTGGAATCATCTCTTATTGGTATTGTATTATCCAGTAAATATTGTTCGAAAGATCTAAAATATATTTAGTTAATAAATATTTATTAATAAAGAATTTAATTTGAAAGGGTAGTTTAAGAGAATAAAAAATATATTGTGATAATAATTTATATGAATAATTAATTATAATTGGTTATACATAAAATTAATCTATATAATACCATGGTGAGTTATTATTAAAATGAGCCCTCTTTATCATCCAAAAAAATGTGCACAATTGAAACTTCAAAAGTGGCATTGAATATTCTGTGGAAAAAAGCAGGCTGGCAGAGAAAGGCATCACTGCTGAACGCATAAACAGTTGAAAACCGAGAAAAAAATTGTAATGTAGTTGACTCATTTAAATCACAGTACATATGCAAAATTATTTATTCACTTATCTTGAATGAGTGTTATTCTAGGGTGTCAAAACATCCTTATTTTTATAAATATTGGTTAAAAAATTGAAAATTAAGTTGAATTAAATTAAAAAAATTGTAATTTAAATTATTTATTTTAATTCGATCTAATTTAACTATATAATGATGGATTTTTTTAAAGTGATATTATTCTAAAATTTGTAATATATATATAATTTTATTTTTAAAATTATTAAATATATTTATTTATATATTTATAATTTTATTTTTTAAAATTTTAAAATTTTTATATTTTTTAATAATAATTATTTGATCACTTAAAATCATTCATCAATATCTATTATATACGTTTAAACTAATTATTTATTAAAATTATGAGTCGATCAGTCTTATCAAATAATAATAATTTTTAAAATAAAAATAAAATAGTATTATTTTATTAAAAATATATTTATATTATAAATTAATTTAATAAAAGATTAAAAATAAATATAAAAAATGTTTATCATTTATTTATTATAAATTTTAATGATTAAAATGAATTAATAATTTAGATTAATAAATTATTTTAATAAATAATAATAATAATAATATATTTTTAAATTTTATTTGAAAATAAAATAATTTTTTTAATATTTATATATTAAATTATTATATGAAATAAAAAATAATTTAAATTTAAAAATATTTTTATTTTTAATTTGATATTTTAAAATTATTTATTTTAATATTGATGTGTTGATTTTTTAATCAAGTTAAAATTAATTTGTTAACATGATAGTGTAATATAAGATTATATTAAAAAAATATAATCTATTTTAAAAAATATATATTAAAATCGGATTATTAATCTTTTCGTTCACCTTCTTCAGCGCTACTTGTTTGCTTATTTTGTGGCGAATTAGGATCAGGATCAGGATCAACCTGATGACAAGACAGTTCTGGCCTACAACCCATGGAACATTCAATTTATCACCACTCCATTACCAAACTTTCAAAATATTTGGTCAACATCAGTGTTCCCACCCTTTTTATACTTATTTTCAGTGTTTTCATTTTAAATGACATATATTTAAAATAACATCTCTAATAAAATTACTTTTAAAGTCTAACTATAAATATAACATTACATAGACACTGAAAATTCCAAACATGTTTAGAACAATAAAAATTATAAACATCTCTTTCACGTTTTCTATTTTCATCCATTTTTTCCAATCATATATCAAGAGTTGAAGCGTTAAGTTTGTGTGTATGCAATTTGTTTCACTCTATTTTTATATCTCTTTTAACATAAATGAGATTGGAGTGTTTTCAAACCTTTATCTTTTAATATATATACTAACCTTCTAAAGTCAAGAAATTTAACCTTTTTTGAAAATTAAATCAATTCCATACGAGTTTGTCTGTGATGAAATCCTAAAATAATACTGCCATACAGTGTTTCACCTGCTATATCAAGTAAATGACCGAATACCTGTCATGGAATAAATTGCTAAAATAGGTTTGTAAAAATAAAATTGCTAAGGAGGTCTAATAATAATTTACAGTGTTTTCACGCAGTGGAGGGTGTTAAGTTTTATTGTTTATATTACCACAATTCCTTGTATAACTAAACACGTAGCTTTTGGTGTAAGGATTACTTCTAATTAAACTACAGCTTTGGAATAAAATTTGTAAAAATGAGATTCCAATTTTTTTTAAAAATATTCTTAATTTTTTATAGCATATATATTATAAAAAATGTCTTATTTCGGACCAAAGAAAAATAAATAAAGCAAAAAAGAAAAACACAAATATTATCTATATCGGTTTATTTTTTTATTTATATTTTTTACTAATCTAAAAAAATTCAGACGAACCAAATGATGAAATATAAACACTTTATAACGAAATTATTATATAAATAAACACTTTACATATCCATCACAATATGCTGTGAATATATATATATATATATATATATATATATATATATATATATATATATATATATATATATATATATATAGATAGATAGATAGAGAGAGAGAGAGAGAGAGAGAGAGAGAGAGAGAGAGAGAGAGAGAAATAGGGTCTACAAAACTGTTTATTGAAGAAAAAAGCAACGATGGTTTGATTTGATGAGGCACAGGGAAGCCATGGATGCATGGTGTGATATATAGAATAGAGATATAGAGAAAATATACTATTCACATTCTGCCGCAGATTAATCCGAAAACGATGACGAAAGCCATTACAAGAGAATGATCAATTCCACCCTCCACATCCAAAGTTAGAACATCACTGCCCAGTACCACTCCCGATGATGAGTGCTTTTGCTTTGCCTGCAAATCACTGTCAAAATATCAACACCATGTTAACGAATCGAAACTAACAACAACACAAATGATTATATTACATGAGCAACTATGTCCCCATCATCTACGTTGACAATCTGAAACGCTGTTTTGCCACCGATTTTCTCTATGCAGTATTTTTGGCACTCCACCGTACTAATCTGGCACCTTAATTTTCCTGTGTTCATCTTATAACATCGTTTAACTTGAAACCAAGGCTTTTCCTGGATCTCACATTTAGAATTATCGCTACCTCTGTAGACATCCCAACGTCCAAAAGCAAGTAGTCTCTGCAAAGTCGAAATTATATATAGAATAGGTTATGAAACAAACGATCGATATATATATAGAACTTTACACTATTATTATTACATACCTTGTGTATGGTGCTCAGAACTTTGCCTCGGAGATCCAAAAGGTTCACGTCTCTGCTACCCTTTGTGTCATAGTTATCAACGCGATAAACGATGAGACCGTTGGAATCGTAGACGGTGCAACCGTTAGAGTTGAGAACAAGTGATTTCATCCAGAGGGTGTATGTTTTTGGTCCATTGGAGGTGCAGGGAGAGGAAGTGGGTTCCTGATCAGGGTAAACCTTGTTCATTTGGGCTGAACCAGAAAGAAAGAATGAATGAAAGAAAGAAGGGGTGGTTGGTTTGAAGTTGAAGGCTCGAAGGAGTACTTGTATTATATCATATTCCAATTCATTTGCGACTTATTAGGCTCGAAGGAATATTTATATTATGTCATATTCCAATTCATTTGCAACTTCCCACTGTCCTCTCAAGTCAAACGCTCAAAACACCTTTTCACTGTTGTCACGGAAAAAAAAATTAGTACTTTTCACTTTTCTCAATAATATAATCCAATATACTGCAGAATTTGTACACGTCATTATTTAATGTGTGAAATTTGTTAAAAAAAAAAAAAAGGAACAGTTTTCACTGAAAACAACCAAAGTAATAAATTGATTAGTTAATCATTTTCGACTAAATTATAAACATTGTTTTATATAAGAGCTGATTGATAACAATTAGACGTGGATAATGGTTAAGTGAAGCAATTTTGCACCATGTGTATTACATACTTAATAACAATCTTTTTAAAAATTTGATTTAATTTATGATCTACTTAAAATTTATCTCATATTTAATATATTGGATCAAATACAACCTAGCTATCTCTAAAAAAATTAATTGGTCAAGACAAAAAAAATTAATTCAAAAAAACTATATATATTACAATTATTGTTACTGAAAACATGAGTGGAAATATAAATATATTTTGAAATATTTACAAAAAATAGTATGATTTTAAACCATAATTTGACCTTAATGTTATTTAATTAAAAAAATAAGACAAATTTATTATTCAGTAAATTTATATATTTGAATTTTATGTGAGTCAACATTCTTAATATTTAAAATAGGAAAATAATTTACACAAAAAGGTAAATAATTTACACAAAATGGTAAATAATTATATGATTTCAATACATTATTAAAAATTTAATTATTATAGATATTTAAAATGAGTAAGGTTGTTAGAATTTTTGAATTGTCAAAAGTCAAGTTTTTTTAACAATTCTTTTTATAAGAGTTTTAGTCTGTTTTATTCATAAAATTTCGACTTAAGCCTATTGTTTCTATGCTGTAAACTTTTATCGATTGGTCTAGTTTATTCACATCAATTTTAAGCTTAAAGCTTTCATACAAAGAATTTAAATTCTTTGTTTTTAACATAATTTATAAATCATATAAAAAGGGAGATTAAATAAAAAAACAGTTTTCAAATATTTTTATTTATTTATTTATTATTATTATTATTATTATGAGTAATATCATGTGAAAATATAACAGTGAAACTGTTTTAAAGATATTCTGTAATAGACAGAAAATCCAAAGAATTACTTATAAATTGTTTTCTTTTACGATTAAAAATTGTCAGAAACATATAAAAAAAAATCATTCTTCATTCTCTAACAATCAAATGCTATTTTCAATAAATAGTTATTATATATATACTCTTATTTTCTATTGCTCTTAAACTATGTCTTGTATATATTCGTTCACCATGTAATCCTTTCAATCGCTTTATTTCTTTTTTTTTTTCCTCCCTTTCTGAACACACCATTAAAGAAGAAACAGCTAACAAGTTTCAATATTTTGAATATTTACAACTTGAATTTGAGATAATAAAAGTATGCTTCCTTTAATTTTAGATCGAGTGTATTTTCAAATGTGTGTACACGAAATATATATATATATATATATATATATATATATATATATATATATATATATATATATATATATATATAAAGTTAAATAGATATAAAAGTATCATATAAACTTAAATAGGATGTCAAAATTCTTAGGTTCAAATAGTGAAATTGTAATAATTAGACTATTTAAATGAGTTACTTTTCAGAGTTTGTCTTTTATTGGATATCATTAAGCAAATACTTGCATCACAAGGAATCTTTAACTTTTCATGGCGTTGATCTTTGTTCATTTCATCGAAAAAAGTTAAAGTAAGAAAAAAAAATCAAATTATATTTGTAAAATATATTTTACAATTTTTTGACTTCAATTGTATAAATAAAAATATATAATTATTAATGTTTCAATTTTTGTCTACCTTTTTCTTTCCATCCAATCATATTATAGTAAAAACGTTGACAGATATAGAATTTCAGATATCCTTTCCTCACCAATAATTATTTATTATTTTAAACTTAAAAACCTTCTTGTTTGCTACTTTCTATTGGTGAATGGAATATCATTGGTTAAATTATAATTTTTACATCTTTAATTGATTTATGATCCATAATATTGATCTTTTAAAAATTTTCCGTGGCTTTAGTCGTCAATTTTTAAAAATATCACAAATTTTGTCCATTATTTTGTTTCATATACTCTTTTTTTTATCCGGTTGAGTCTTAAAATGTAAAACATTTATGTAAGATACAGTCAGTAAATGATAAAATTACTAATCAAAATGTAAACATTGAAAAAAATAATCAGATACTAAAATTAATAATAAGATCAAAGTTAATATTTTTGAAATATTTGTAAACTAAAATGTTGTATTAAAATGAAAAGGCAATTAAAACTTCAATTTAACTTTTAAATATACTTAGCTTAGTTGTGTTGATGTGATTGGAGTTAAAACATGGTCATACATTTGTGGAGTTTTCTACAAACATTTTAGGTAGAGGGCGGCTATAGATCATAGATGTCACGCCCACAAGTGATAATATATTTTTTTTGGGAAGCAACATTAATCTTATTTATTCTATACCCTATCCACTACACCTTAATTAATCATTATCTTTCTCTATTTATTTATTTTTGGTAAAAGATAAGTTAGTTTTAGGTGATATATCTATAGAGAAGCAATTGATAATTTGAGTGAACTTATTGTATGGTCATAGTCAATGTAAATGATTCCTTCTTTTTATTTATACGTATTGTGCAACCAAGTTTGATAGAGGATATATGGAGTGAGGATGAAATAAAGGCATTATAAGAGATTTTTTAGTAACTAAATTTGTTGTGACGAGTATGAAAACTAATTGCATATTATCTATGAAATCTAAGTTCTCACTAAAATGAATTGTTTACAACTGAAAGAGTAAAAAAATAAATAATAATAATAATAATAATTAAATGACTCAAAATAAATTTAGTAAATCTATTTCCGTTGAAGACACTAAATAGATACACATTTCACAACTTAAGTAGTACAAATTTTACTAATGTAATTGTTAATGAACTTGTCTACGTTAATTAATTATTTTATTTAATAAAGTTGTAAATTCTATAATACACACGTTGTTAATATTGTAATAATAATTTTAAAAGATGGTTATAAATGTGATATTATACGTGCACCCAGGTCAATAAAAACATTTATTTGTTGAAATATAAATGACAATGCTGACACATATTCATAATGATGATTTATGGCTTCATGAATATTGTCGTGGTCAACTTGTATATAACTTTGTTGAAAGTATTAAAATAGGTTTAATACTTGAATATGAAAGTTAAAAAAAAAGGTTAAATTAGATTTAAAAATTAATTGTAATCTAAATTAAATTAATTCAATTCGTCTATTTAAATCATGAGTTTAGGTTAGTTTAATTCATAAATTTAAGAGACCGATTTTTTTATAAAATAATAATAAGTTTTTAAATATAAATAAAAATATTATTTTATTTAATATATATATATATTATAAATTATTTTGATAATGATTCATTTATTTTAAAAGTAAATATTAAAATAAATATGAAAGAAACTTTTTTTAATATTTAAGATTAATTATTAATTTAAATTGATAAATTATTAAAAAATAAACAATGATAAAGAAAAGTAGGTTTTTAATTTGTAGTTTGAAATTAAATGAATGAATTATCTTATAATTTATATATTAAATTATTATATCTTAAATAAAAAATATTTTTATTAGTAAAATTTAAATTTTAAAATTATTTGTTTATATTCAGTTTCATGGTTGATTTAAAAATTTATTTAAACATATTTTTATTAAATTTTAATATATATATATAGTAGTTTAATTAAAAAAATAAGTGGGAGAGAAAAGAAAAAAATAATGAGTGGATAAAAAAAAAGATAAGAAAATTTACGGTTTGAATAAAACTACTTAGTAAATAAATTGATAAAAGTTTTATTTAAGTAATTTTTTAAAATATATTATTTATAAAATTCATTCTAAATTCATCTGATGTTATAATTATTTTCCTTTCTTTTCTTTTTTTTATTTTTTTACTTTCCTCTCTCTTCGTTTAATTTTTTTCCCTCGTCCATTATTCTTTCACCCCATCTTATTGTTTTTCCAATTAAGAGCAGTAAATTAAATTTTGATAACAAGAATATTTTATTATTACTGCAAAATAATAATATTTAAATAATACATAAATATTATAATTTAATATATTATATTTAAAAAATATTGTATGATAATTAAGATGTTATAAATATTATTGATATGTTATAATTTTTAAGAAAAATTTACATACTTATTTGAAATTATTTTTTTAATATATTTTTTTAAATTATCTAATCTAACTAATTATCACAACTCAGATTAATTATAACTATATTAGATTATTAAATAAAAAATATACCTAACTTATAAATATTTGATATTTTAATTAGATGGGATAATGATTTATTATAATAAAATAGTTTTAAATTAATTATTTATATCATGATAAATAAAAATATTTAGTGTCAAAATAAATAAAATTATTGATTATCATCATAATTTTAAATGATTCGTTAATATTTTTGTAGTTTAAATATTGATTTTAAAATATTTATGTGAATATATTTTTATTAAATTTTAATAGAGTAATTTAATTAAGAAAATAATTAAACGATAAGAAAAAAAAAACAAGATAAAAAAAGAAAAATAAAGAATAAATAAAAAAAGTTATAGAATAAAAAAAACTATATATGAACACTTACTTTCATAAATAAATTCATACAATCCTATTTAAATATATATATATATATATATATATATATATTATTAATAAAATTCATTCTCAAACACATGGTCTATAAAAGTACATATGGAACAAACTAAATAAAGTTATAAATGTTAGGTACTTGACCGACAAAAACAATGTACGCCAAATGAAAAATTGATTAAGGATAATAAACATACGGAAGTTAAGGAAATAGAAGACAGACTTATTATTAGCGTGTGTATATATATATATATATATATATATATATATATATATATATATAATTTTATTTTATTTTTCATATTATATCAGTTTCCTTTATTTTCTCTCTTATCCTTCAAAAATAAGATGTAAATTCAACCTTTTTCATAAAGAAAATTATTTTGTCCAGCAAATAAACGTGTATTAAAATTAATTGGTATCAAATATAACATAAAAAAAAACTTACAAAACACCATTATTCCCTTATTATGATACATACTTAATGTTCTTCTTTCCAGTAGTAAGTAGCCGTTTTGTTCACGCTTTTTAAAATTATTTAGGTAAATAATTTGAGAGTGGGTTATTCAGGTCAGTAATATGTTTGGGACGATTTTAAAAAAATCTCCTTTTTAGGAAAAAAAAAAGGTTGCCTTGTTGTTGGGCTGAGACGTAAGTATCTTGTAGCCCAAACTGTTTCTGTTAGGGTTTTTCTATCTTTTCTTCCTTTCTTCTCAATTGGGCTGGTTGGGTTTTTCTCTCACGATGTTCAATTTTGCTCTGCTTTCCCTTCCTCGCACCTTTTTGCTCTTCCCTTTTTCTCTTTTTTCTCAATCGACCTAACAGTAGAGGGGAATCTGAATATAGAAGCCGGGGAAGCATTCTCAGAATCTCTGGTACCCCAAATCGTTACGGTTTCAAAGGTGTCGATTGTTTGTGCTTCGTTTAATTGTTCGATGAACTTGGAATTGCCTAACACATTGATTCTCTATTTTCTTTTGTATTGATGACACCTTGAACCCCTGCGTAACCATTACTTGTAATTAGTTAGACTTTAGACTGTTCCTTTGTTATTCATATGATTTACCTAGCTTAGTCTCTTGATTGTTTATGTGTATCTGACTCACCGTTTTGTTTAAATCAATCTAATTCTATGTTTCGTGCATTTCATTTCACTCAAACCTTTACAATTTTTTTTTCTCCGTTGGATTTTTCTCTGTATTTTTTGTATTATTGTGAGTTACTGGACGCTGCCGCTATTTACTAATTGCTCCACCAGTAACTACTATATTATTTCAATTTCAATATTGTTTTTTGTGAAAGTAAACAAACGTATAAGAAGTGATTTATATTGCATATCTGCTTGAAGCTTTTACCCTTCTTGTGTATAATAGATATAGTTTTCGGGATCTCATGATGCAATTCACCTTAATCCAGGAATGCCGGAGAGTAAACCAGTAGTTGGGTTATCATGGCAGCCACAATTGCCTATTCTATCATCATTAAAAGCCACTGATGGATGTCATACCAAACCTCAAACTGAGGCATCAAGCAGCACTCTTTGGAAATCCAGTTCAGAGCTGGTTGATGGCCTTTTTGTCCCTCCAAACGATCCCAGAAAATTAAACAAGTTACTGAAAAAGCAAGCTAAAGACACTGCTGGGAAAAATTGGTATGCAATTTAGCAAAACATTATTCTCTCTAGCAGGTTTTCATCTCTGTGCTGAAATTTTTTCCTTTGGTGATTTATCTATTCATTTTATGGACATCTTAGCTCAATCTAGTTGTAGTAATTTTTTTTTAATCAAACTTATAGAAATTTATTCATATTCATCTTATGCAGTTATTTTTTTCCAATGGTTTCTTTCTTGTTTCTTTAGTTGGAGTGTAAAATGGAGTGATATTGTAATATTTAAATCTATGGCAGGTTCAATATGCCGGCCCAAACCATCACCCCTGAGTTACAAAAAGATTTGAAGTTATTGAAGGTGATTTTGACTTTTAACATCTTTACCTTTTTATTACTTTTCTTTCTATAATGTTGTTTTGAATATGGTTATATGTGATGTATCGTGAAATTAGCTTGGGTTGAGCTATAATAACATACACATACATGTTCACATTAATAAAGACAAGAATGAATAATTAAAGCAGAACCAGCTGAAGTAAAGTTACATGTCAGATTCTTCTTTTTCATGTGATATGATATTTAGAGGTATATGTTGGATTAGCTTTTTATTACTGTGATATTGAATTTAGGCGGGATAGATGAAAGAAACAGAAAGGCAGGGAAAGAAGTGGGGGAAGAGGAAACAAAACAGAATAGGGAGATTTAAGGGAAAGAGGAGAGAACGGAGAGGTAAAAGAACATAGCTTCTCCAATGGTTCTTGGCTTGAATAGGTGAACTTGGTCAGCATATTTTTCATGCAGACCAGCTAAGTATGTATCAACGAGATAGTCTTCGGATAGGTGAAGTTTACAAGGAACTGCATCAAAGGCATCATTAAATTCTGTCAAAGTGCCACGCCGTTGTAGTTGTAGACAACGCATCACAAATCTTGAAAGTGATATTCTTGACAGTGTATAAAACAGTGCCCTTCTTTTCAGTCATATCCAAAAATGTTAGAGACATCATCCTTTTTGCGTTTTAGCTGCTGAAGTTTATTAGAAATGCCTCCACCACGCTTGATGGTGTATCAATCTTCACAAGCCTTCGCTCCATTTGAACAAACCTTTTCTTCCATTTGATGCATCATTGTCTATGATCTTGTTTTTGTGCCCATGGGCGAAAAGTTTCTGATCTGGTAGCTGTGGACAGATAGCTCTCGAAATCACTGATATGGAATTTAGGTGGGAAAGATGAAAGAAGCAGAAAGAGAGAGAGAAAGAAACAGAAAGAGAAGAGAGAACTAAAGAGAATAGGGAGGTCTAAGGGAGTAAGATGTAATGATGTAACTATTGTATAAAAAAATATCAAGTTCTCACGCAATGGATATATGTAAATTCCAGGATACCATGACACATATTTAGTCATATTACAAGCATCTGGAAAAAATTCACTCAGACACAGATTTTCGTGTATCTCTCAATTTGTGTTAAGCTGTCTAGTTTTGTTTTGTGAACCAGTTATTATCCTTAGACTTTAATAATAAGCATGTATTTTGGTGGTTACAGTTGAGGTCTGCCCTTGATCCAAAGCGTCATTACAAGAAAGGTGATTCTAAATCAAAGACACTTCCCAAATATTTCCAGGCAAGCAAGTTTTGGTTTATATAGATTACACAAGCATAAGTTAGTTTTGAGTGTTATTACTTCTTTCATCAAAATTTGAATTTCTATTTGACATCTATTAGTGAAATTTTGAATGATCAGGTTGGAACCGTTGTAGATTCTCCAATGGACTTCTTCTCAGGAAGATTAACAAAGAAGGAGAGGAAAGCAACGCTTGCAGAGGAACTGCTTTCTGATCAAAACCTTGCTGCCTATAGGTAAGACAAGCCTTGAACTGTTTATCAGCCTGGTTAGAGAGTTGTTTATGCATGTTCCAATGCTCTTTGGGTACTTACTCGTTTTCATCAATAATTTTTCTAGGAAGCGGAAGGTTCAAGAAATTGAAGAACAGAATCGGCCTGCTGGGAATGCAAAGTGGAAGATTAAAGGTAGTAATTCCCGGAAGCGAGCTAAGGAAAGGAGGATTTACTGAATTAGTAATCCATTTCAGCCGTAGGCTCAGTTTACAATACTTTTTTGTAGTTTAGAATTATTCAATGTTACATGGAAAAAAACTTAAAACCGATTGGTGCTATGTTTTAATGGCTTCAGTCAATTCTGCTTGGGCAGAGTTTCTATGTTTCAACTTAACCCAATTTAAGGTGAATGATCAAAATAGACAGATTTTGTAATAGGAAGAATTTCTTGAAATTATCCTCTAGAATGTGAACATCAAAACATCAATTTGATCGTTATTTATCGAAAACCTGCAATATAATTACTCGATCTTTGCCTGCCTCATAAATTAACTATATAACCTGCCATGTCTTTTCACCATCAAAGCGATTTGAATTTGAGTCTGGAGAGTCAACTGTCATATTACTGAACAAATGAAGAACAATCTACTATAGTGTTCAAATTTATTGTGCTGCTTAACAATCTACTATGTATGATTGTGTATAAATCATTCAATTTTCAAATAACAACAAGAAGGGAATTGAGAGCTTTGGAGGGGAAGGGAATAAGCATAGAGATGGCGAAGAGAGGGAAAAAGAGTGTACATTTTCTATTGGTGGTGAAGAAGATGAGGGTTTAGCTTGCATCATAATAAATAAATAAAATAATCTTATCACTTGAAATTAAAATAAAAACTTTATTATCATTTTTGATAAATATAAATATATTATAAATAAAATACAATCAACTCAAATAATGAAATATACATTTATTTGACTTAATTATTAAAAATAATTTTAAAAAATAATTTTAGAAACTTATTTTTAAAACATTCACGAAGCATTAATTTTGAAACACCCCTTGATAGAATTGGATGCTTGTTTATATGTGTAGGTATCTATTACACTAATAGTTTCTTAAAACTGGATGACTCAGTTAATTTATACAGGTTAATCAATAATTACAATTGGAATAATGATTATCATTGTCATCCTTAATATATATAAAAAAGTTCTCATATATAAAATTAAAATAAAAAATAAATTAATAATGAAAAATAAAACATATAAAAATAATTATTATCACATACTAAATTGAGATTTATATATAATAAATATTTTATCTTTTGAATAAAAATATAATAAAAATTCGAACATGCATATTTGCCTGTGTTTTCGTTAATATATATAATTTTTTTATAATTGTTTTTGGGTATATATATATATATATATATATATATATATATATATATAAATAATATAGAAAAATTTATTATTTATATATTTCAAAAATTAATAAGAAAAAGAGAGAAAAAAATATAATAAAATGTAACGTGTTAAAAAAAACGGGAATACATCAAAAAGTGGGGTGAGAAAAATATATTATATATATATATACATCTTAAATATTTTGTTACTTTAAATATAAAATTATTTTCCCATATCTCTATCTGCATTATTAATTTTTTAATATTAAAAAATTAACATGTTTCAATATATATATATATATCTTTATTTTTTTTGTCCAGTGCAGTGATTTATTTTGGCATAGACGACTGCAATAAAATATCATTGGATTATTTATATAAAGCATTTGCTAACACAATAAGACATACATATTTGACAAGAAAATTTGAACTGAAAATGAAATAAAATAGAAATACTTAGTCACACAAAAATTCAAATGGTTGTACTTGTCACAGAGTAAACATTTGCATCTGGGTTGTCTCAGTTTTAAGCATCCTGTGCAGAATCCTAGAAATCTCAGTAACTCTTCACAATATTGAGCACAGATGAATAAGTTCCTAAAATTCCAAAAATGACTCCAAATGCAGCAATTGCAACGCTCAATGCCACCTGATAGTGTCAGATAAAAGGAAATTAGACTGGTGTTAGTGTAAATGTTGTCATGCAAGTTTCATGGAATCTACATTATGATATTGGCAAAAAATTCAATTCAAGATCAGTAGAATCATACCTGTGCATGCGTTGCCTTTTTTCCCACAATTATCAAAAAACATGTACTTGGAAATATCACTGACTGAAAAATTGTGCATTCCCCAAATTAATTTGCAGTTTCATTGGAGTTCCTTACAAGAATTTGAAACAATAACAATAAAGGAAAGCACAGTGGACTACACAGTAAACTCAATGCTAAGTACATGAATAGTTATTCCTTTAAGTACATGGTATAATAACAATATTAAGAGACAAAATAGTGTTTTAGCTCTCCTATTTACTTCTACAATTCTAAAATTAGAATTCAAAGTTGGTGTATGTAAATAAAGTTTAACATGTGATTAAACAGTTTTAAATTGAAGATAATAAACTCAGTTAAATTATAATCAAGAAGCAGGTCCTTCTATTGAAAAATCATGACAGAATCAAGGCTTCCTAATTTCCTTCATGAAAGTGAAGCTTTCATAATTTAGTTGTCATAGATTTTTGACAAGGAAATATGAGAGAGTGTGTATGTTTATGTGAAAGTGATTGTGAATATATTGAAGTGTTTGCTTACCACAAGTATACTGAAGAGAGAGCCAATTAAAGCCATCACATACCCTGAAATTGTAATAAAATGGTGTTAAGAGTGACTTAGGTTCATATGACATGCCATTTTTATATTCAAAGTAGAATTTTCTGTATAAAACACGTTACTTTAATGGAAATAAATAAAGATATATGGAGTAATCGACACTTCAACTAAGGATAGAAGTAGAAATAGCATAATTGACATAAATATATATGAGAAATGAACACTTCAAAAAGGCAACTGAAAAGTACAAAACTTATATGAACCTGTGATATATAATATGCCCACCTCAAATACACAAATGGATGGAAAAGAAAATATGAATATATATGTTTATAGGCAGAAAGCTATATTAATTTCTTTAGTGTCTTTGACTTGTTGAGCAGTCACGTTGAAACTAATATTAGAGAGACAAAGTTTAAGACTCACCAAAAAAAGGAATAAGAAAAGCAGCACAAACTGTAGATACAACAAGTGCAATTCTGATAAGAACGAAACACGGATAAGTATTTGAAAATCTATCTGGTAGCAACTCCTCGAGACTTCTAGCTAATGGGTTCATCAACAAAGCATATTTGTGTATAGTTAAGAAAATCAAACTAAAATCATTCCTGCATTTGATCAAGCTATTTTCAATTACGACATTCATAAAAAACTACGTTGAGGTAAAAAGGATATTTAGTGAATGGGTTGATTACCTGAAAAAGAGTGAAGAACACAACATTAGAAAACATGTACACTTGACTAAAACTGATGAAATATGCAAGAGACCCAGAAAATCTCATACTCACTGTTGTCCATATTGCAACCTTGGAAGCAAATGCATTTCGTGGCAAATTTAAGGTTATTTGAGACAAAGTGTCGTCACCAAAAGTAAGGAATCCCATGATGGCAACACCTCCATATATTGCAACAGACAATACAAAACTGTGTGTGAACAAACGAGTTTAGGAATTAGATATTCAGAAATATGAAATCAGATATGTTTTGGTAGTTGCAGTCAAAATTAAGGAGGTACCATACCATACTATTACTGCTTTAGTAAACTGTGTTTTATCAGCCATAGATTGGTAAATATTTGGAAAAACGGAATGTCCTGCGAAGCAAAACCCGTGGATTCCAATAGCTAATGGAATGCCACTCCAGTTGACCAATTTAGTACTGTGATGGAATCCAGCACCATCCATTATACCAATACAAGACACACAGACAACAATCAACGGTGTAGCAAAAACCCCTCCAGCTGCATATCATAACAAAAATTCCAGTAAGGATATGGTAAGTTGTAAAATTGAAAACAAAAGAAATGTCCTTTACACTTTGGAGTACCTGACAGTGCAGAGATTATACGAAGATCCTTCAGCAAAACAGTTGGGATAAATATAAGTGCAGCCAAAATTCCAAACAAGTGCACAGAATCTAAGTGGAAACTACCCAAATCTAAGGATTTTCCGGGAAATAGTCTAGTGAGGTTATCTCCTTCCAAGGTGATGAATTCTACACAGCATGACTGCACTCACAAAAAAATGTCTGATAAATACAGTGCAGACTAACAGAATTAAGGTGTTACTAAAAGAAATATAAGAAATGATTGCAACACTTACATATAATTCAGTGTACAAGATGATCTGCAATATTCCATTACATCGATTAGTGTTTAGTATAACCACTATTTATTGCGTAAGTGAAAAAAGTTATATCTCAGCATTCTTTCTCACTACTATGACATGAGTTTGTATTATACAACAAATAAAGATATGGATAACTCACTGATACAATAATACGACCATATTTTCCAAATGCAGCTTCTCCTATATCAGGATAGCTATTGATTCCTTCTCTACTTTCAAAACAGTATCTCATAAAGGTGGCTGTACAGCAACAAGTGATAGCAAAAAGAACCATCAACACCATGCTCATCCAGCCAGCTTCCTTCAATGTGTAAGGTGTTGACAGAATGCCAACTCCAGCCATCACATTGGTTGCTGCCATTCGTAAAAGATAAACCATCATCACCTCATAAAATGACCAGGTAGTAATAGAAACTTAGGAAGTACAGTTAAGAATTTTCAGACAGGATATTACTTCTATTACCAAACACGGATATATATAGGATCCACAATCTTCTTAGAAGCCCTTTAAATAAGCTTTTGATTATTTTGGATACTAATGTACATTGAATGTGCAGGGTTATCTGGGGCAAGTTATCATCAAACAAAATGTTCAAGGATACAACAACAGTATGCAATGAAATAACATACCATTGAAAATTGTTTGCATTAAGCTGCACCCATGACCAATGGGCAATTCGCCTTCTAAATGACCTTCCACTGAACCTTCCTTCAACAAGGTTGATTGGGGACTGACTTCAGGACTAGAGAGGAAAGGAGTCTTTCCATCTATTTGCAAGTTATTCTTTGAACGGTTTTCAAAACTGGAAAGTATAATACTTGGTACTCGTAGAATTGAATCAAAGTTTGGTGTTGCTGCAAGTGTGTAAGAATCTGTAGTCTCTCTGTTATACGAAAACGGAGAAAATTAAAATGACATGATCAAGGTTTAAAATCAGGTGGCTGCAACATTGTGGTTGCCAATACCTGCAACTATATCACACTGCAGTTGTATAGAGATTTTACTCAATTGTAACTACTAACCACTGTGCAAACACTACATCGAACCTCATTAGGCAAAATTCCAAAACTGATTACAGTGTGTAGTTTTCTCTTTCTTTTTTTATGTATAATATGTTATAATTCTAACATAATATTGACATAAAATATTTATTATCGAAAATAATGACTAAATTATGCCCTTTAAAGTACACTTTTTATTTTTATTTCTAAGTAATCGTTTGATGTATAAATGAAAAAATATATAAAATAAGTTCATAATATATGGTCCAAGTTTCAAAATTTCACACTACAGGCTACTCTAATGAATACAAGTTACTACTAATATGACAAAGAGGACGTACAGTATTGCATGTTAAGTTTCAAATGTGTCAACAACTATACCAACTCTGAATAGTTTTTACCAAAATTTTTAAAATCAGAACCATGATTGACAGGGTTGATGTCAAGATTCAAGGGTTTAATAGTTTAATTGAAATAAATTAAATTTAATAAAATTATATTTTTAACACATAATAATATAAGAATTACATTATAAGATTATTAATAATAACATTTTTTTAAAAGAAAATCACTACAATAATAACGAATATTAGAAAAAAAATTAATAATTATAAACATAAAGTATAATAGAATGAAAAATTAATATTAATAAAAATAAGATAAAATCATAATAAAACAGTTATAGTTTAAATTCGAAGTGAATCGTGAGAGATCAAACAAAAAAAACTTAAAAAATATTATCCTTTGAAAAATTAAGAAAAAATTATCCTTTAAATAATATACTTTTTTTAATTTTAATTTTTAATTTACTAGAATTAGATGACAAAATCTAAACTTACTTTTTATTTTATTTTGTTTTTATTTTATCAATTTAATTATATTTTCAATTTTTTAAATAATAAACTGATTTTCAGATCCGATTGATCAGCGATCCGATTCAATTACAAAAATAATGATTCTTACAACTAAAAAAATTAATATGTTTAAATATTTAAAATGAAATTATAATAAAATTTATTTAAAATAAGACAAGTTTTTGGTAGTTAAACAATTTTTTAGAAATGACCATAGTATTTTTTCATAAAATTATAAAACTAACTATTTTTCAAAAACAATTATGAAAATTAATAAGTCATACTTAAAAATATGAACTCAAAGTGGTGTTTCTAAGCAAGACTTTAATTATTTTTTCTAAATCACTGAAGTTTTTTTCATTCGACTTCACTTTTTTATATTTAAAAGATTTATTATTATTATTATTATTAAATTTGTTATTATTTATTATTTGTAAAAATTTATAATATTTATAGTAAATACGATTATAATAATACATATTATTAATATTATGAAACTTATTATTATTTATTATAAATAAAAAAATATAATACTAACAATATCAATAGTATTTATTATAATATGAATAATTAAAAAAATAATAAAAAATTAAATTAATAATAATTCTAACAAATAAAATAATTAATACTCATTATTATTATATTTATTATTTATTATGATTATGATTATGATTATTAATTATAATAATAATAACACTAATTATAGTAAATATAATAGTTAATAATTATTACTATATTTATATCATTATTCTTACTATATTTATAATAAGTACTAACTATTTTTATTCTAAAATATTTTTTATTTTTTATTACAATTATAATTAATTTCTATTTAAAAAATTATAAATTTAATAAGAATGATACAAAGAACTTGAGAATTCATTAAAATATATCTGAAATATTTATGAAGTACGACTTTGTGTAAAAAAAACTTCTGAAATCGTATTGCATATTGCATATACCATAATGAAAGACAGCAACTAATTCCAAGTAGAGAGAGCATAAGCAGATTAAACCTTTTTCAGTAAAAACTGCAAAAGGATTTAAACAAATAGTTGGTAGGTGGCGTAGAAGAGTGTACTTGTAACTTTGAGGCCATTGGAGAGAAGTGAAAGATTGAAGGCTTGTTATATTGTTTTCTTCGTCATCACTCTCCAACTTGGCAGTTTCAGTATCACGTCCTTCACCTTCGTTCATATCATATTCAAAGAAGAATTCAAGGTCTCTCTCCTTCTTGTTGCCGTTAGAAAGCATTTCTGCAACGACCCCAATCCAAAGTATAGTCAGGAACAAGTTTTCAGCCGCAGAAGATGCAATCGATACACAAAACACACCCTTATATATAAGGACAATTCAACAGAATAAAAATCCATGTAAAACGACAACAACATCAGAGAATGTTACCCGTTAGAGACTTGGCACATCTAGATCTAGTCATTTATTATAAGAATTTATAATTTTAGGTTCATATTGTTGGAGCTAATATGGCAGAAATTGACAAGTTGAAGAAACAATTGTCAGAGAGCTTTGAAATGAAGGATCTTGGTCCAGTCAAGCAAATTCTTGGTATGAGAATCTCCCGAGATAGAGATAAAGGTATTTTGAACTTATCTCAAGAAAAATATATAGAAAAATTGCTTAGCAGATTCAATGTTGGGAATGCTAAAACCAGGAATACACCTTTGGGAACTCACTTAAAGTTTTCAAAGAGGCAATCTTCTCAAACAGAAGAAGAAGAAAGTCACATGTCTAAAGTGCCATATGCATCTGCAGTAGGAAGCTTGATGTATGCTATGGTTTGCACTGGACAGACATAGCACATGCGAGTGGGAGTTGTGAGCAGATTTCTATCAAATCCCGGAAAGGAGCATTGGGAAGGAGTGAAGTGGATATTCGGATATTTGAAAGGCACTTCAAAGATGCATTTGTCTTTCAAGAGAAGTAATCTCATTTTACAGGGGTTTTCCGATGCGAGACTTGGGAGGTGATCTTGACGGTAGAAAGAGCACAACAGGTTATATTTTTACATTGGGTAGTACAGCTATCGGTTGGAAGTCTAAACTTCAAGGAAGGGTCTCTCTCTCAACCACTGAAGCGAATATGTAGCTATCTCGAAGCGACGAAGGAGATGATATGGTTGAAGAACCTTCTAAAAGAATTAGGAAGAGAACAAGATGGTTCTCCGTTGTTTAGTGACGATCAAAGTGCTATTTGTCTTGCTAAAAATCCAATCCTTCATTCCGGATGTAAGCACATTGAATTGAAGTATCATTTTATCGAAACCCGATAAATGATGGAGACTTGAGTTTGTTGAAGATTCCAGGTGCAGAGAATCCCGCTGATATGTTGACCAAGACTGTTACAACAACTAAGTTGAGGCTTTGCATTGCCTCAACTGGCCTTCGAGCAAATTGATGATGAAGGCACTACACTAGGTGGTAACGTAAATCAAACTCCAAGTGGGAGAATTGTTAGTATTATGGTGCTTGATTTAGTCCCACATCGATTAGGATTGTGAGATAAATTTCTCTATTTTGTTATATAAGCAACCCTATGTAAAGTTTGATATACACACAGAAATAAAAATACTTCCTAGTGTAGTCGTGGACGTAGGCATACATATTTTAGCCGAACCACGTTAAAATTCTTGTGTCGTTTATTTTTCTCTCCTTTATTCTTTCCTTTATTATTGTCTTGTTCCTAACACATATAATACCACGTTCTCTTTTACTTAATGTTAAGAAATGAAATCATGTCGATCAAGAACTATGCTCCTTATAATGTATATTCATCATAGATCTTCCTAAATTAAATAATATATACAAAATTGTAATTATTACGATTATTATCAATTATAATAATATTAATATTAATTATAATATATATATAGTAATTAATAATAATAGAAAATTACTATATACAATAAAATTAATAATGATATTCATAATAAAATATTAATAAATAATTAAACTAATAATTATCCTAATAAATAAAAATAGTTAATACTTATTATTATATTTATGATTTATTATAATAATTATTAATTATAATAATAAAATTATAATATATATTAGTTTAATGAGAAAGAGATAAATTAATAACCTAATAAATAAAATGTCACGTTCTCTTCTATTTAATATCTTGTTAAATTAAATAATATATGCAAAATTGAGCTCAATGATACTTCATAATATACTCTAATAAATAGTCATAAGAAACTGTGTGTTAAATAAAAATTATAAATTTTATACAAAATATATTTTAATTCGTGTAGTGTATTAAAGAAATATTTAATTATATTATAAATAATTTTTTAATAAATAAACACTTTTAAAATTATATATTTTAGTTTATATGATAAAAAAGTGAGCATAGGTTCACTTAATTTGAGTTAATAACATTTTTTTTCCTTTGAATCAATTAATTTTAATTATTTGGTTCAATTTGAACTTGTGTTAACTTATTCCTCCAATTCAAACAGTATCAATGAATTTGAATATAAAGTACCATGTATCAAATTTATTATCAATAGTAATGAAAATTAAATTAAATTCAATTAACAAATGCATTGTGATATTATATGATGAAGAATATATAAATTGAATTAATGTCAGGGACAAGTTAAAGAAAATCTAATATCTAACTAGGTTGGTTTTATTTTTTAATCCTATTAAAATGAATACAAATTTAATAGATATGAATCATTAACTTAGATTTGTGTCTAACCTTGTGTAGTAGAAGACAAAAATCATTACTGTATAAAGTTGGTAAAATGATCGAAAAATGGGTTAAATTGTCGGACACCAGCGAATCATGATTTGAAAAACAAGTACAGTGTGAGTGTGAGCGTGAGACATCGAAGATGAAAGAGATGGGATGGGACGGTACGAGTATAGTTTACACTCAACATGGGATAAGCATGTACACACCCATCCAAGCATTTGTCCACATTACTATATATTCATTATTTAAATTATAAAAATTATAAACTTCTAGAAGAACACAAATTTTCATTTTTTTTCTTATTATCATCGTCACAATACCTACATATTAAATATGAGTGCAATTTATTAATATTAATATTATTATTATTATATTTTTAATCTTTTCTTACGGAAAGATGTTCAAAGTTGACTATTAGAAGATGTTTAATGTAATGGATGTTTTATTTTAATATTATATTAATAATATTGAGCAAGAAAATATTGTAATGAAGTTTTCCTCATCTATAATAAAATTTTTCATATATATATATATATATATATATATATATATATATATATATATATATATATATATATATATATATATGTAAGCGGGAGAGGAAGCAGAATCAAAATTTTTCTCTTATCTTTCTTCTTCTTTTGTCTAAATTTCAAGCAACGATACTCTACTCTTGCAGGATCTAGTGAAACAGGAGAGAGTTTAAATTAAGTGAAAAAGTTTCAGTAGAAATACCACACCAGGTAAGGGGAAGTTTAATTCATTCAATATATGAAATTGAATTGTTGGGTACTCTGTGAATAAAGAATACGAGTAGAGATATGAATTATTTGAATGTCTGATTTTGAAGAATTTCTGATTCTCATTAACTGTTCATCGTTTGAAAGTTTTTAAAATTCTTAAAATTAAGGATGAATTATATGGTAAAATTGTTGTTTTCAACTTAAATTAGATATAATTCATGTTTAATTTGAATTTGGGACTAGTTTGGTTGTCTAAAATTGAATAATTTGAAATCTGTAAAAATCTGCAAAATCCGATAATGTAATGGGGCGAAGGAAGAAGAAAGGGATATGGTGGGGATTTTTTTAAAAGATCAAGGGTAAAATAGTCATTTTACATCCTAGGGACATAAATGGAATTTTTGAAAATGTTCAAGGGTAAAATAGTCATTTTCGGGACATGGAAGGGATTTTCGAAAATGTCCAAGGGTAAAATAGTCATTTAAGGACATACATGGAATTTTTAGAAAAGATTAAGGGCAAAATAGTAATTTAATGATTTCGAAAAAGATTTCGGAAATGATTTTGGAAGTGATTTCAGAAGTGATTTCGGAAATGATTTCAGAAAAAAGGAAGAAGAGGAAGAATATATATATTTAAAATATATAATGAATGTAGCAGTTTTAAAGATTTTGTAGTGTGTTGTAACGTGTGTGAGTCAGACTGAGTCTAAGGGCTGCCCATAATCAGTCATGAGATGTTATGCATTGGCTAGACTGAGCAGGAGGGTTGGTGCCCAGAATCAATCAAGTACTATTATTTATTGACTTCAATGAGCCGTGAGGATAAGTGGTCCAGAATCCGACAAATGTGAATGATTTTTGTTGTGTTTGAATGGTACCCGGGGTGGTACAAAGTACTTTAGTATAATAACTATGTCGGAGGATTTTGAATGAGGTCCCAGACTTCATTTATTGGTTGGGTCAGGTAGACTACGAGATCAGGTGGTGAAAAGTCAATGGGAGATAACTAGTGGCGTGCTCGGAGGGGTACTTCAGTATGAGTGATGAAGGGCGTCAGTAATCCTACTCTGTGTGGAGGGTGGTCAGAATGGTACTGCGGGTGCCGATCACAATGTGCTCATAGATGATAGTCTCTCAGGCATAATTAGGGTATACTTCCGGAAGGTGTCCTAGTATGTTGATAATTTCGTAATTGATCATAATATATAATTATTACTTCTATATCTGTTTTATTATATCGAATGATTTAATACTTACCCCTATTTTTCCATGTGGATGAGACTGCGATGATTACTTTTATGTGGGAACAGATCAGGAGTTGAAAGATGGAGATGTGACTACTGGACAACAAGGATAGTTCAGTGAGATAGCTTTGAGAGAGCTACTTTTACATATATAATATATAAATAAATTATGTTACTATATTTTGAGATTCCGTTAGTGAACCGAAATTTCAATCTATGTTACAATTAGAGTAATATAATGTAAGATAGATATCGTTATTTACTTGTTTACTATTTTGCGAAGAAATTATTATAATAACGATTTTTAGGATTATTTAAGGTTAAAATATCGTTAATCAAGGCGCATGAATGAATGGTTGAATATTGAATTAGATTTAAAAAAATATTTTATATAATATTAAAATAATATTATCTAATGTTTTATTGATAGATTATGAATGAATGGTTGAATATTGAATTAGATTTTAAAAAAATCTTTTATATATAATATTAAAATAATATTATCTAATGTTTTATTCATAGATTATGATAAGATAAAAATG